CTGACGGTCTCTGATGGTCACTCTGTCTCCTCCACTGGGCTCCTCCACACATCGTCAGCTGATGTCTGCCGTTAAACTCATGCAGGTATTCAGTGAGCGCACATCTCTGACTGTGACATCGAGGACTTTGATCTGTGGTCCAGCAGGTCCAGCATTCACAGAATATCCAACATGATCTGCTGGTGGTGTGGGAGCAGGCGGGGATGTGGTGGATTCAGCTTTAGGGAATGTGGAGATTTGTGCTGTTGATGTGCAGCAGCAGATCTTGACAGTGACAGTGCTGACCTTTGAGGAAACAAAACCCAAAACGGAGGAAGCTATCATATTAGCTTTGTTGAACCGTTCAGTTTAATTTAAGTGGAGTTCAAAGTGCTTCTTACAAGAGCTGCAGTTTGCAGTCAAACATGAGACGGGACTCGATGGCACAAAGGCCACCAAGCCTGCCCGTTAGCGAGCCTGTGGTAGCTGGCTAGCATTAGCATGTTCCCAGTTATAGTCCCAGCTGGATCTGCACATAGTTCTGTCACCTTGTGGCGGTACCATCCAGTCTGATCGAAGTGATCCACTTCATTTTGAACAGTCCAACAGAGTTCTCGTTGCAGTTGTTCAGTTTGAACTGGAGCAAATGCACCATGGTGTGTGTTGAGCAACCTGAAAGTTGTCAGCTCTGTTTATTCTGCTGTCGTGAGCAAACCTGTTCACTCAGAACGCCGGCGTTGTCCAGACAGCCTGCTGCAGCATGCGGTGGTCTGGCGCTGGTTGTGTGTATGCCACAAACATGACGTACAGCAACCTTCGATGAGACACAAAGCCGAGGAAGCAACGAGCTGTGATGTTAATTTCCTACATCATACATCCAGAGTGCTGTGGTTCCTTCTTCACTACCAGATTCCTCCTTTATGTACACGTCCTAATCTCTTGTTTTCTCCATGGATCTGTCTGTAGGACCTTTGAATGATGAATTAGAGAGAGAGCACATGGCTTGGTGAGGCCAGACCAGGGCTGGTCCTTGCTGTGCAGCATCGTATTGATTGCAGTGTGAGTCACACCTTGGGCTGTTTAGTGCAGGAGGAGAGAAATGCCACATCACTCACTTCTCTATTTATTGCAGTTTCTCTCTGGGTCTATATAAGTGTCTAATTGTTCTTTTGTCTTCGTGTGATGGCGGTGAGCTGGTCGAGGTAACCCCTGCAAACGCTCTAGCCTTTAATGTGCAGCACATTCCTTATTAACTGTTATTTCTGTCCCCCAACATTTGCCTAAACGCTGCTGCATGCTGCACCCTGTGCTCTTATTTATCAGACTGGTGTAAAAGCTGTCAGTGCAGTTGTTGTGAAGCGCTATGTCTGCAGGTAGTAATGGATTTCTCTGTTTTGCATTTTCATTTGGTGAGAGGCTTGATCACGAGCTACTGGAGGAGACACGAGGCAGGTAAAAAATATTCTGCAGTGTTGCATTTCTGTGCGTGTGTGACCAAAACCTACAGTACTTTTGATTTTTTTAATAATAATCCGAGCACAGGGACGATTGATGTGTATGAGGAAGGTTGACCGTGGATTTGGCGCTCAGTGGGCGGAGCTACCATGAGACCTCGGTGTTTTAGAGGCACATGAGCCACATCAGCACCATCTCCGCCCTCCATCGGCTCTGATGGACCTGCCGCTCAGTTCTACTGCAGCTTTTTTCCCACTCCGTACTTTGGCTCGTATACACAGTATTATTCAATAAGCTGCTTTTTCTGCTTGTCTCTAAACTTATCGATTGATCACGCTTGCATTAATAATCTAAAGCAGACTTGTGTGTTGTGATTCTCAGTCAACCAGACAGTTGTGTAGAAACAGGAGGTGAAAGCCAGCTGCAAATAGAGTTTTTTCTTTAAAAGACCTTCTTCTATTGTTCTTACCAGTGGAGATAGCAGACATTTCTGCCTCTGTGGTGTTATTCACACAGCGGTGACACCTGTGGGCTTCTGAGGTCAGACTGTATATGAGTCATTAGGTCACATATCAGTCTTCAGTCACCAGAACCGATGGTGTGGACTGGTGCTGTGGAAGCTGATAAGTGGGTTAGGGTTATCAGAGCATTTAAAAGCACCACCTACTGACCATCAGTTCCTAACCCTAACCCTAACCCATGCCTAGAAAATGACAGGGCGTCTTAGGAAGGCAAGAATGTAAACACAGCCTTCACTTTAGCTGTACGAGGACCTGGTGGGTCCCATGTTTCCACAGAACTCCCACAGGGTTCTGCAGGGTACACAGCTGTAGGCCCTCTCCAAGTCCACAAAGCACACGTGGACTGATGATGGGGAAGGTTGGTATGAGCTCAGTGTTTCGTAGTCAAACCCCGTCATGACGTACTCATAATGAAAAGTAGGGGATGTGGTGTGAACTGAACAGGAATGTTCCCCTGATGAAGTCTAGACACTGGTGTGGTGAGGACGGGCCGGTCTGAGGCAGTGTGTTGAGTTTGGTGGATGGGTCTGCAGACGCTGGTTGTGATAAAGCTGAAGGTCCATCGTGTGAAGGAGGATTGCACTGAGGTGACAGCAGTGACATGAATGGCATTCAAGGTTGTGGCAAGATCTGACTGGTTTTACAGAAAGAGGAACGCCCTCAATCACCCGAGAAAGATAGAACGGGCTTCTGGATTGAACGTTCACCGGGCTCATCAGTCAGCTATGGAGAGACGAGGCCTGCGACCAGTTGTTTTGACCGTCAGTCATCATCATTGCTGCCCACTTGCTCTGTGAAATATCAAAACATAGTTAATGGAAACTGTTTTCTGTTCACAGTAGTTCTTGTACTTGTTTAACATGTTCTGTCTGCAAATACAACACTACTGGATGTAAAGTGAAGTAAGCAGCTGTCCACTCACTCTGACCATTTCTTGTCTCCAGGATCGTTCCCTCCTGCTGTCCTCTATGCACGCAAAGACCGACTCCACCGACCTGCACATGTGGCCACAAAGACTTTCCAAGCGCTGCGAATCTTTGTGAATGATGAGCTGAACGAACTCCATGCAGGCCTCTGTGCTGCCCGGACGGCGCTGAAACCAGGAGGACGTCTCTGCATCATCACCTTTCATTCGCTAGAAGACAGACTGGTCAAACGTTTCCTGCAGGGAGACGACTTGTCTAATCTGGATCAGTATCATTTCAGCCCGAGGAAGCAAAGCACCAGAAAGGAGAAGCTGGCAGATGAAAAAAAACATGGTGGAACTTCCTGTTGGCTTCCTCTGCGAAGAAAAGTGATCACCCCAGAAAGAGACGACGTCCAAGATAATCCTCGAGGACGCTCCGCTAAACTCAGGGCGGCCCTCAGGCGTTAGCTGGGCCATGTTCATTCTGACAAAATGGAACTTTCTGATGTCTTGACATCAACACAACTCTGGACAGTCCTTAACTCCCCTAAGCTCACAACAGCAGCGTCTTACACTGGTCTGCATGCACCAGTCTACCACCCAGTCAGTCAGCTTGTAGGTGGGAAGCCAGTGAAGGTGGATGCGGAGTTAGTGAGTCCTGCTGGTTGGTTAGGGTGTTGCACAGTGAACGTGAACTCTACAAGGAATATAATCAGTCTCACTCATTGATTTTTGCTTCTATCCAACGGTCTTCTTTAGTAAATCAAGCTGGATCAGGTGTCATCTCAGACCTGTTTGTCATGGCAAGCTAATGCTACATATACATTTATCTACTGTTCATTTTATTTAATAACATCAAGAATAAACTTTCAGGTCTATGTCCAGCACAGAGACTGCTCTTCTCTGATCCTACCTGTCCAAACTCAGATGGAGAGGCCCGACACTGAACATCAAATGTTACTGGTGAAAAAACCTTTCATACTCAAATAAAAGTTTATGATTGTTTTCATTTCTGCTGCCTTCTGTGCCTTTTGCATTAATATGACTTCTGTTCACAGCAGCTTTACATGACGGCCGGCGCTGTGACTGCTGTGTTTGAAGCGAGCAGGAACGTCGGGAGCTTCACAGATGAAGCCAGTTCCTCAGCTGAGGCTGCAACCCCATAGAGCACCATGTTGAGATGCAAATACATGTTTACAGCCTTTTAGCTTCTACAGCTAATTACCCGGTTCAGGGCAACTGCAGCAGGGCTCTGTCTTCACAGAAGTCCGACATTTAAGTTGTATTCGGCACAGTCCAAGGCAGTACCATGTTGGTACCGACAGTCTGTGGCCCAGAGATGTTTGCATGATCCGCTGCAGCCTTTGGCTGAGTTTTGGATCAGCCAGGTTCCACTAACAATATACACATATATATACAGTTTAAAGTATTTCAGTATTCACATTTTGTGAAGAAAAGTAAAGTTTTTTTTTAACCCTTAATGTCTTTGTGGACAGCTTCTATCTTTCTATGTAGACAGATATTTACAGGAGATCATGTTTGACATCATATTACGCAGTAATCGCTGCTAAATAGCTCAACATATAAAACAAACCAAAAAAACACCTTTTCTCATTGACGTCTGTATTTTCCCTGAACCTCCTTCGATGAGTCGCTCCACTGAAACCTCTACTGTACCCATGAATCAGTAATGCCACTAAATACTGAATGACGCAAGTGTCAGGAGTGGTGCTGAATGAGCTGGGTGCTTGTTCTCCAGCATTCTCTCACCTTCAACTGTAAGCAGATGAGGTGTTTTGATCTTTACTATTTGACTTTGACTAGTTGTAATTGCTCCATCAAGATTATTAACACTTTTTTTTCTTCTGTCTCAGTTTAGTGCTCTCTAAATATACCCTCCTCGTTACCGTGGAAACTAAATGGCGCAAGTAACATTCAGCTGTGTCTAAAATTATGTTTCTGTTTTAATCTGATACGAAATGATGCCGCATCATGAGTTTGAATGTCCCTCCCTTTTGACATCAGTGGATTTCAGCACCGTCCTGCTGACAGAACATTTGATCTGATGAACACTTGGTTTCTGTTTTATTGCCACAAACTATTTTCACCAATCAGGAGGCGAACACGGGCGAGGACACGTTACGCACGACTTCGTTTCACACTGATGCGTGTTCATATAAACACAAAAGAGTCAAGAAACAGTTTCCAGAGTCAGCATATGAGCTGAAACATTTGGATGTATCTGACATGTTCTTGTTCTTTCTATGTGAGGTCTCCATCCATCTGATCTATAGAAACATCACACTCACCACACACACTCCTACCGGCAGCAGACTGAAGTCTACATTTCCAATTTCATGGATGTATTTTATAACTAATTCCTAAACTAGGTGCCTCATAGCTGCAAGTTTGAGAAAGGACAGAAGCTGGAGACGTGGAGTCAGAAAGCAGCGAGCTGATCGTCCGTCTCCAGCCGTCTGCGCATCTCTGCTTCACGCCAGCAGCTTAAAGTTGTACGAGCTGCTCCTTTAACTCACCCAGAGAGACGCCATGCCTCCGTTTGTGTTCGATCAGCTTCAATTCTTCATCTTTTGTTCTTTTTTTTTAAAAAAGCTGACAATCAGCAGTAGTTTCAGGAAGTGTTCACACACCGGCACCTTTGGGCCACGTTATCATGCTGGAGATAAAAATGTTGATTTATAAAGTTGTACGTTTTTCTCATTTAATTAAATTCAATGACACATTTCTTTTCAGATTTCTAATCAAATATTAGGAAAATCCCAATTTTATCCATTTAGAATAAAAAACATACAACAGAGTGACGTGTGCAAAAAGTTTGTGCCAAAGTATTTGGTGAAGCGACGGTTCTGACCCACAGCGGTGCTCCGCCACCTTTAGATGTCGTCGTTTAACAGCTGATGTTGGCACAGAACCATTTGCTTTGCAGGTCAACGCTGCACCTGCTGAACTTAGACAGCGGCCAGTTTCACGACTCAGACTTTGATGTTAGGAAATGATTCAAGTCATATTTGCATAAATGTGGAAAAGCAAATATTTCTGCGTTTGCTGTGTAATTTGCTATCACAGATAGAAGTGTATCTCTGAGGAGGTTTCTTCTTGCACCTGCACAGGAACGTTTCCTTGAATGCCTTGTTTGTGGCAAGCGTGAGACTCGACTGTGAGTTCTGTGTCGGATGGACAACGGCGTGCAAATACACCAAATACTATCTGAAGTTCTTTTATTTCCTTCAACTCAGTGCTGTAATAGAAGAAAGCAGCGCTTGCGGCCGCCGCTCGGTGCAGGTGAGGATTATAACACAGGAACTTCAGTGATTACAAATTACTGTTGTCTATGACTGCAACTTCTCAATCTCCATGGAAACAGTATCCCCAGATAACAGTAAATATGCTGTAAGACGATGCTATTATTGTAGACTTAGATCAATCCATATATTGACTACCTGGTACATACCTAATAGCTGCTGTTGCTGAATCGTGTCTCTGAGACTGCAGGTGGACACAGCGAGCCTCATCCAGCCTGCTGGTTACACACCTGTGGATGCTACATGCAGCCTTTATGTCACAGCTGGACTCGGTGCTACATTTCAACAAATGAACACACCACTATAGGGCCTCACTATATATATATATATATTATTTTAATTGTAGAGGTTTGCATTGCATGCGGGGAAAAGTTGGAAGTCTAAAGCTGGTGTGATGCAGGATCGTGGATCACAGAGACAGACGTCAGAACAAATCCAGAGCGGTCGGTGGAAACTTCCGTCCAAAGAACTCTGCAGTGAAATGAATCCATGAAACATCGGCTTAAAACGGTCATTATTGGGTTTTTTTATTCATAAATGGATAATTGTCTCTCAGAATGAGATTTCTGGACAAACAGAAAGACTCAACATCAGATTGTTGTGCTTGTGTGTGGACTGTACCATCTGCACCGGGGGGGTCCGCTGTTAGCATCTGTTTGGCTTTTTATAGATTTTTAATAGATTTCTTTTTTGTTTTTGACTGGTGATCAGACAACAATATATTTGAAGAAATCAACCAGGGTTTTAAGAGATTTTAAGACATTTTTCTCTATTTTTTGACATTAAAATGATGAATCGAGGCAATAATCAGATGAATAATCAGCAATGAAAATAATCATAGCCCTGTGTGTTCGGTTCACGGGTAATTATCAAGAGACCAGGTACCAAAGATGTCTTTTTTAATCCCTAACAAACAAAAGCAAAACATTCAAAAGAAAAACTACTCCGTTATTCAATATCTCAGCCATGAATAAACTGTCAGACGTCATTTCTGCCTCGCAGATAAAAAACAAACAAGACAGGAACTTTAAAGGCACATGAACAATGTGCATCCTATTGGACCACAACAGATGATGAATTAATCGCACCCTGAATCATCTGACAACACAAACAGCACATGATTTAGGAAAAAAAATCTGACAAGAGAAAGATAAATGATGTCATGACTTGCAGATAAAACTGGTTTGCTAAAGTGGTGAAAGTAATTGTAATAATTGTAATAAGAAGCGATCTGATGGTCAATAATCAGCTGATATTAGGTACATGCTGAGTACGGCTGCTCCAGGAAAATGAATGTCTTCTTCAATCGAGACATCTGAAGAAGTCCCTTTGGGTTGTTTTATTGCGATTCTAACGATTAAACTGTAAATCAGTGAATGAAAATGTAAATAATTGTCAGTTTCAGTCGCTGCTGTTGATGTCAAACAGCTCCACGGTGAGCTGCAGGAGATGAGGCTCGACGCCTCTAAACGCTAGTGTTTGAGCTTTGTTTCTATCATTGGGTCATGCTGAGGTTCAGGGTTGAAAAAAAACATCATTTAATTCTAAAGTTAAAATCAAACCACAGAACGATAAATGTGGAACTGTGAATGTGAAATGTGGATTTTGGTGAACACCAGTCGTGGAGTGTGAGCTCTGTCTGGGACTGACCTGGACGTTGAGCTGTGGGTGGGCGTGGCACAAAAAAAGACCTAAAGAGTTTGAGGAAATATATTATTATTGTAGGAGTCCACAGACTTCGACCTGTCCAGGTGAACCCGCCTTCACCCTGAGTCAGCTGGGATAGGCTCCGCCCCCCATGACCCTGGTGAGGATGGATGGATGGATCTACAGACTGTGATAATTGTTGGACCAAATGTATAAGTGTTATCAAATTCTGCATTTTAAAGCGCATCATTTAAAACGCTAAAAAAAAAAAGGAAAAAGAGGAGTGAGCCGTGCTGAGGCGTCGTGAAGCAGCAGCTCCTGCCGTCCCCAAATGAATGACTTGGTGCTGCCGCTGGATGTTCATCTACCCCTGACTCCAGCTTTTTGTTATTTCTGCTTCCTGGCAGAGACGTGAGCCGGCGCTGTGGCCATTAACTCTCAGTGTGAGGAGAGAGACATGCGTCAGCCTGTGTCTCCCCCTGACAGACTGAAGAATGTTTGAGCTTCACAGCGTTCCAACAACAGACTGAGGCAGCCACAGAAAACTCACTCCATCCACATCTTCAGCCTCCTCCTGCTCGTGCTGCCGCCCATCTCTCTGCTCCGCCTGCTATAAAAAGATTCTCACTGAGAAACACGGAGGTCAAAGCTATTTGAATAATTTTTGTGATTGACGCAGGGCCCGCGGGTCTCATGGGAAGCAGATCCAACTGTGAAAGAAGACAGCCATGTTGGATACTAGCGCCAGTGCGCAGCCAGGGGCTACCGCTGCGTTTCTGCTGACTTTCAATTTGAAACTTAGTTCAAGGGATTAAAATACAACATTGAAAGTATTAATGACAAGTCCTGCCCTCTTCAGAGTTCACCAGAATTCATCACCTTTGAGATGCCAGAAATAAATGGGAGGTGTTTGGTGTATCCTGGAGCGTTGGCTGATCACAGCCTCTTGGTCTCAGCCATCAGCCGAGCACCACTTGCTGTGTCAGGAGCTGGACAGGGTGACCTCATGTCAGCTCACTTACTCAACAGTCTCCAGCTGAA